CTTACGTATAGTAGTATAGTACCCGTACGTAATTTAACCTTAACTTAGTTTTTACTTTACTTAACTTACGTACTACTAGTATAACTTAGGTACGTCTCTCTCTCTCTCTCTCTCTCTCTCTCTCTCTCTCTCTCAATTTCTTTCCATCTGTCTAATCTTGGTTGATCTTTTTCATAAGGCATGATACATTAACATATAACCATGAAACATTCTATTTGACTATTGAATGATGTGGGTTATTGAACAGGTTCAAAAGTTGGTGGAGATGGGGTTTCCAGAGAGTCAGGTGCGAACTACGTTAGAAAACTGTGGAGGAGATGAAAACTTGGCATTGGAAAAGCTCTGAGGAAATGGAAAGCTTTAAATGTATTATGAGAAACTGTGAAAACTTGCTTAAACTTTCTCATATATGAAGATGCTTTAAATGTTATTAGTTGTTTTGAAATTATGTAGATTGACTTTTGTTTATCCCCACCTGGATTGCAACTCCACTTCATAATTGAGTGGAATATGATAAGATACTCTAAATGTTATTGGTTATTTTCAATGTATTGGAGAGAATAATATTGATGTGCAAATTATTTGCCTTGAAAAACATTTTGTGCGCATTCATCACTTGATACCTTTGTAACCAGCATTACGTTTCTGGTTGAATTATAACTGAGGATGTGTATTTGCTCACATGTGAGCATGTGTATGAGAGAGAGAGCCTTATATATTTGCTTTTTATTTTATTTTATTTTTTCTTTTTTGTGGAGAATTTGGACAATTTGGAGTGCTCTTTCAGTCTTATACAAAAGTTGTGGAACCAACATGCACTCACTTAAATTATACTTTTGAGATAACATCACTCTTCCTGTTAAGCCAGGGCTTAAATGCGTATTTGTGTGGACAATTTGGAGTAAGCATTTTACCACCCCAATTGCCTGATCAATACAATCGTAATATATTGTTTTAGAAGAAACATCACTCCACTAGCTGAGCTCTAGCCTAGTATCTCTCTCTCTCTCCCTCGCTCTCAAAAGTTTGTACATGAACTCAGGCCCGAACAGTTGTAATAAATAAATAATGAAAATAGGTATCCAAAAATCAGCAATAAGCAAATCATAGAAGTAAGGGATATGCAAATGATGGCAATAGCATACACTCATCGCTATTGAAGTAAATCTTTTGTAGGAACGCCCAACCTTGTTTGAAAGTGAATGTTTGTTTAATTTGGGACTCTTTGGTTTTCATCAGGGAGACTTGAAGTTAATGAAAGGGGACTTGATAATTTGTTAGGTGAAACAATGTCAAAGTATCTCAAAACAAGGCATTACTTGTGTAGTATCACCAAATAATGTTCATTATCACTTTGTAGGTCTATATGGTACTTTCACCATTCAAACCACTTAAGAATATCTGATTCTTGAAAGAGAGACAGAGAGAGATAGAGAGAGAGATTCAAACCACTTAAGAATATCTGATGCTTGAAAGAGAGATTCAAACCACTTAAGAGCATCTGATGCTTGCAAGAGAGATTCAAACCACTTAAGAATATATGATGCTTGAAAGAGAGATTCACACCACTTAAAAATATATGATGCTTGAAAGAGAGATTCAAACCACTTAAGAATATCTGATGCTTGAAAGAGAGATTCAAACCACTTAAAAATATCTGAATTGAACATTGATGTACGAATAAACTAAATTAAACATTGTTCTTCCATAGAAGATAGAGAACAATAAGTGTATACAATTATAAATGTATGGATACCATAAAACATATATCCATTCTTTTTACAAAAAATACTAGAGCAAACATCAATGTCATAAATAAAATTACACAAAATAATTCTTTAAAGGTCTGCTTTATCATGGACCATAGCAACAGATTTACACTTCGCTTTTTCAGATGAAGATGCATCTACTCCATCAGCAACACAAGCATCTGAACTGTGAGACACGAACCTTTTAACCAAAGGTTTTCTATCTTCACCTAGAATTTCATCACACCACTCTTGATAGCCTCATCCAGTCTCATTCTGGTGATTAATATGATAAGATAAATGTGTGTTAGATATATGCTTACAAATGAATACCAATATACTTCTACAATATATCAACGAATAAATCACATACCTTCCAATTAGAGCATTTATAGAAATGCGTGTTGTAGTTATCATGTGTCTTTGCTATAAACACACGCATCTGACGACATCCTGGTTTGTGTTTACAAATCCTTAGAGGGAATTGGTTGTTGAGATCCATTATATAAATAAGTCATAACGAATATATTAAAAAAATCGTCACAAACATTATTAATCGAATTATCTAAGATGGTTAACAATGGGTAACGAACCTAATAGATATAATGAAACTACTCCAAAAAATTGTCACTTGATGTATAAGACTACTTTAGGCAGATTGATATACACAAAGAGAGACGATCATCTTTCCTAACATGGGATTGAAATCTAAACTTGAAGCTTGTGCCAACTGTTATATCTAAGTATTCAAAAATATAACATCCATGAGAAGCATATCCACTGTACAGTGGCCACATAAGCCTCTCCGCATACTCTAACCTTGCTAACAAAGTGATATCCATATAGTTCACTAAAAATAAATGATATGCACGCAATTGGTCCTTCAAAATTCACAATTGACATTCACCTCAAAGTCCATAGCATTCCATATCATTACGCACGCACAAAACCTAAAAAATGAACATCTTCTGGAATTCCACGTCAAAAGAAAAGCTGATTCTAATTCCTATTGAATCCAACAACACGCATTAGTTAAAATAACGGACTTTCCCTTCTTACAATGGACCAGCATCGACAAAGGAAAACGAACGTCGGGAACGTATTTTCTATGAAGCAAATCATTTAGCATATTATGTTCCACGCAATATAATTCATGGCATAAACATTTATACTGGTTTACCTTCAAACTACTACATTCTGCTTGAAAATCAGACAAAATGGTGCAAAAGTACAAGTCCCTAGGACTTCTCCACCACTAAATTAACAGCCAAAAGATAAAAACAAATAACAATTAAACCTGAAATCCATGCGTCACATTTGAATGACTAAATAAATTGAAATACAAGGATCACTGTGCATATAAATATTACTATTTACATGTAAATTTGGACATTATAAAACATAGCATTTGAATGCACTCCTTTTAAAGCAATAAATTGATGAAGTAAAAAAAGGTTGGAGATCTGTTAGCTTTCTGAAACTCTATCCCTGAAGCCACAGCAAACATAGAAATCAAAAGTTTCATAAACCATGAATCGGGCAATTGGCTCGATTATGATAACAAGCTCTCGGGTCCTATTCCAATTGAGTCTCTCTCTGCAAATCCCTCACTCATTTGGAGCTTTCTAGGAATGAGCTTAGTGGCAGTATACCTCCTCAACTTGGGGAGCTCATAGGGTATTGGAGCTCCTAATCCTACACGAGAATAACCTAACAGGGAGGATACCTTTCTCTCTCTTCGAGCTCTCAAATCTGAAAAACCTCCCTCTAAGCTTCAATTATCTGAGAGGCCCGATTCCATCGAGCATTGGGCCCTTGTATAATTTGAAGGGTCTGATACTATCAAATAACCAGCTTGAAGGCACGATACCTGAAAGCATTTCGAACTACACCTCTCTCACTGTACTTACTTTGACATATAATAGATTAACAGGACCAACACCCTATGGATTTGGAACGTTGCAGAACCTGAGTTTTCTCTCCCTAGGAGGTAATCGAGGTTAAAATACCTTTCAAAAATCAAACCAGAGGCCTCAGCCAAGTTGCAATAACCGCCATCCCTCCTCCTAATCAAGAAATAGAAGATATATAAAAATCAGCTATTCCCTAACTCACCGGAAAACTATAAACCCGGCAGAAACGTGAAAAAAATAAAAATAAATAAATAAAATAAAATAAAATAATGGAAGTTGGAAAAGGGAATACCAGGGAGGAGAGCCTTGGCACAGGGAAGAGGAAGAGAAGAAAACCAGGGAGGAGAGCTTCTTCTTTGTTGGAAATGGCGTAGGAACAGAGCTTTTTTTATGTTGGAAGAGAGAGAGAAAAGGGCCTTTTTTGTGTAAGCTTCTTCTCCGTTGGAAGAGAGGAAGCTGTTTTTTGTGTAAACCTATGGAGAGAGAGTGAAGAGGAAGAGAAAGAGGACGTTGAGAAGAGAGAGAGAGTTAAAAGTGTTTTAGTCAGCACTTGCGACGCGTCAGGTGCGTCAGAGTATACATTAAAAAATTAATTTTTTTGAATTCACCTGAATGGTTGCAGGCGTCGTTAAAGCAATTTTTTGAAGACCGTCCATCAACAGCGTAATGATCCAGACCGTCGACGTTTGGGAACGGGGGTGTGCCAGCCGGCTAACATAAGCTTTTT